TGACAAACTCTGTCCCATTTGTTCCCTCCCCGCATCCCGGGCAGCCACTTCATCTTTGCATAATGGCTTTGAAAACTGCAATTTGGGGCCGGGCGTGGTGGCTCAAGCCTGTCATCCCAGCACTTTGGGAGGCCGAAGCAAGTGGATTGCCTGAGCCTGTGGGTTCGGGACCAGCCCGGGCAACATGGCGAGATCTCGTCTCTACAGGCATGGTAGCGTGTACCTATAGTTCCAGCTACTTGGAAGGCTGAGGCGGAAGGATCGCTGGAGCCCAGCAGGTTGGCGCTGGAGGTGGCCGTGAGAGTGCCACTGCACTCCAGCCTGGGTGACGGGGTGAAACTCTGACTCAGGCGGTCACTGCACTCCAGTCTGGGTGACAGAGTGAGACTCAAAAAAAAAAACAAAACTGTAATTTTGTAACCTCCATGTTGGAAGTATGTCTTTACACCATCACAGTGGAATCATGGTAGCCCTTCTTCTGTGAGCTGTTGTTTCTCTGTCCCCCTCTGTCATGGCACAATGCCCTCTGCACAGTGGTGTGTCATCAGGTGAGTCACCACTTTCGTGTCATCTTGTCTTGGTCATAACTCACACTGCAGTACTCGTATTTTGACTACACTCTGTCACTTTTGCCAGTTTAGAAACATCCTCTCTGTTGCATTCTGGTGATTTTGTAACATTGTCTCTGCCCACTGGAGTGCCCTGATGATTGCTAACAAGTGTGGAGTGCTCACCAAGAACCAGACACTGTGCACTGGGCATCCTGCCACCAGTGTGCATCAAATTCTCAGCCCCTGCAATCCTCTTTTTCAGTTGGCTAGGGCTGTCATTTCAAAGTACCGCTACCTGGGGGGACCTCGACAACAGAAATATATGTTACTTATTTATTTATTTTGAGTCGGGGGTGTTATTTTGTCACCCAGGCTGGAGTGCAGTGGTGCAATCACAGCTCACTACAGCCTCTACCTCCTGGACTAAGGTGATCCTTCTGCCTCAGCCTCCCGAGTAACTGGGACTACAGATGCACCCCACCACACTCGGCTAATTTTTTTTTTTTTTTTTTGTAGAGACACGGTCTCACTATGTTGCCCAGACTGGTCTCTAACTCCTAGGCTCAAGCAATCCTCCCACCTCAGCCTCCTGAGATTACAGGTGTGAGCCACTGCACCCAGCCAGAAATGTATTCTCTTACAGTTCTGGAGGTCAGTAGTGGAAAATCAAGGTGTCAGTGGATTTGGTTTTGTTTGAGGCTCTGAGGGGTCAGGTCCAGGTCTCTCTTTTTGGCCTGTAGATAGGCATCTTCATCTTCACATGGTGTTTTCCCTGTGTGTGTGTCTCTGTGCCCAAATGTCCCCCTTTTACATGGACACCCGCCATATTGGATTGGGGCCAACCCTAATGGCTTCATTTTGACTTGATCGCCTCCGTAAAGATCCTATTTTTAAGACTTTAACACATGAATTTGGGGGTGAAGAGGACACAATTCAATCACACTACCCCCTTGTGTATTCCATGAGATTACTTGGATGAGGTCCAGGGTCCCAGGAAGCCTAGCTCTGGAATTCACATTGCCAACCAACAGAGCTGTAGCTATCTTTGGAAATGACAATTTGCCACAAAAAGTCCCTCGCCCGTGGTCACAATATCGATTAAGCAGTGAGCCGGAATTCAAACCCTGCTGGTTAAACTCTTGAACTCGGATGGTATTTTGACAGCCAGAGTTCAGTGTGGGGCCCCTGCTAGATATATTAAGCAGAAAAGGATTTAATACAAGAATGTATGGGGTGGCCGGGCTCAGTGGCTCAGCCTGTAATCCCAGCACTTTGGGAGGCCGAGGCAAGTGGATCGCCTGAGCCTGTGGGTTCAAGACCAGCCCAGGCAACTTGGCGAGAGCTTTTCTCTACAATAAGTTTTTAAAACTCAGCCAGCCATGGTAGTGCACACCTGTAGGTCCAGCTACTTGGAAGGCTGAGCAGAAGGATTGCCGGAGCCCACCAGGTTGAGGCTGCAGTGGCCGGGAGCGGCCACTGCACTCCAGTCTGGGAGACAGAGTGAGACTCCAACTCAAAAAAAAAAGTAAATTAGAAAGAGAAGGAAGAGAGAAGATTCACCTCCCCAAGGTAGGGGAGGGGGACCAAAGCCAGGAAGCATGGCGACAGCCATGGCTCAAAGAGCACATGGCCACACCAGACTCTAGCAAGGCAATGGCCCCTGGTTGCTTGTGGTTGAGTCCTTTTAACCTTTCCCCTTGAGGGGGGAAGATCATTAAGGTGATTGGGTGGTGGTCTGCTTCCACGTCATCACAAAGGGGCAGACAAGCACAGGTATTGATGATGTCAGGTGATGGACAGCAGGCAGATGGGTGAGTTAGTCACATGAGTGCTGTCACACGGGGCTTATCTGTGTCACGTAGGTCACAAAGGGCTGATGAGGTTCACCCTGGGGGGAGTTTCCTGCAAGAGACTTGTTAAGACATTTGCAACTGAGGCAAAAAGACTGAAGAATAAGCTGTTTCTTCTAGGTTTCTATAGGTACCTTTCAAGAAGAAAGAAGACACAGAAACAGAGCCACACAGACAGAAGACAGACATGTGACAGCAGAGGCAGAGACTGGAGCAATGCATCCACAAGCCAGGGATTGTGGCCACCACCAGAAACTAGGAAGAAGCCAGGCAGAATTTCTCCCTAGAGCCTCGTCAGCACCTTGATTTTGGACTTCAAATTTTGATGGTTTTAAGCCACCCAGTTTATGACACTTTGTTATGGCAGCTCCCAGGAAACGAATGCACAAGGGTATCCCATGCGACCAGGAGGTGGCAGGTAGGAAGCCAGGTAACTCCTCTGTCCCTCCAGGGTTCTGTGGTCTCATGAGTGAATTCCCTCTGCAAACTGCCCCTCCGTGCTTGTCTCTGACAAACGCAGCTTCCAACCACAGACTAATACACTCTCTGAGGCCACGCCCACCCACATTCCCGGGGAAGAGATCTGATTGGCCCAGCTGGAGTCACGTGCCCACCCTGGTCCAATCAGCTGCGACAAAGGAATTGAATCACCTGGTGCCAGGGCTGCTATTCAAAATAGGCAGAAAGCGCAGAGGCAGACGACAGCCAATCAGATGAGACGCTCACTCTTGCGTCCCCTCCCCCCAGAGTTCTGGGGACCAGCTTCCTCCCCCACCAGCCCTCTTAAGGCTTGCACTGTCGGGTCACAGGGCCAACCCAGGGGACCACTGCAGGCAATCTAGCAGTCGAGGTAGCGGGGCACCACAGATCTGTCCGGTGGGGAAATTGTAGGGCTGGAGACACTGGCCACGTCTGGAGGGGGCAGAGGGGCGGTGGTGTGCTGGCATATGTCTAACCACCAGCTCTGGGGGAGGGGGATGCGTGTGTGTGCGTTTATTATAAATTGTATTGGCCTATGACTCAGCCTGGGTCACAGAGGGGGACTCCCATCTCTACAAAAAATTTAGAAACGAGCCAGGTGTGGTGGCGCGCACCTGTAGTCCCAGCAACCCAGGGGGCTGAGGCAGGAGGATCACTTGAACCCAACAGTTTGAGGCCGCAGTGAGTTATGATCATGCCAGAGGAGCGGCAGAGAGACCCTGTCTCTAATCAATGAATTACATAAAATATCTAAGGCACAGGGGTCTAGCATATAGTAAATGCTCAATACAAAGTAGTCATTAGGCTTTTGTTTGTTTTCTGAGTCAGGGTCTTGCTCTATGGCCCAGGCTGGAGTGCAGTGGCATGATACTGCTCACCGCAGCCTTGACCTCCTGAGTCCAGGAGACCCTCTCGCCTCAGCCTTCTAAGTAGCTGGGACTACAGGTGTACTCCACCACACCTGGCTAATTTTTTTTTAATTTTTAGTTTTGTAGAGACGGGTGTCTCTACATTGCCCAGACTGGTCTCAAATTCCTGGGTTCAAGCAATCCTCCCACCTCAGTCTCCCAAAGTGCTGGGATTACAGGTGTGAGCCACAGCGCCCAGCCTAGTGGTCACTAGGTTTGTAATTATGCGTTAAAACCACGCACCGTCTCACCCTGTGCCACGTGATCCAGTCACACAGGGTCACACACAATCACGTCATAAAGTGGTAGACTTTCATGCCAATATAAAAGACAGTGAGTTCTGCAGAGGCCCGGGTTTTTGCCTGTCTTATTCACAGCTGTGTCTCCAGCACATAGTAGATAAATATCAATAAACATCAGATAGAAGAATGAACGACATTCACTAAGCACAGATTTACAAGGACCCCCCCCCAAAGCTAGCTCTATGAATCCCACGTGGTGGGGGCTGGAAGTGAGACTTTATTTCTCACATATTAACATAAATAAGATGTTGGAGGAGTCTGTTTTCAGACTCTCTAGCGCCTACACAGTGCTAGCACGTGGCAGAGACAGTAAATACAAATCCAGCAAATACAGTGCAATGAATTCATATAAAGTACAAATCCCAGCTACTTGGGAGGCTGAGGTGGGAGGATCACAGGAGGCCAGGTGTTTGAGACCAGCTTGGGCAATAGAGCGAGACCTCACCTCTACAAAAAATGTAATTAGCCAGAGGTGGTGGTACATGCCTGTGGTCCCATTTACTTGGGAGGCTGAGGTGGGAGGATCGCTTGAGCCCAGGAGGTGGAGGCTTTGGTGAACTGTGATCATGCCACTGCACTCCAGCTTGGGAGAAGTGACGGGGGGGAGAGGGAAAAGGACACAGCAAGGCCCCCCCTTAAAGAAAAAGTCCATTCTTCAAACTCAGGGATTTTTTAAATATATATATTAAAAAAAAATATATATATATATATATAAAATATATAAAGTATATTATCTGAGCACAACTCAGAATAAATACCAAGTCCAAATTGTGACAGGAATGGGTGGGAAGGGTCCTCCAGAGGGTTTCAGCAGCAGGGACCCCTTTGAGGTAGAGCAGCTAGCCTGGCACCAGAGGCCACCACGATGGATTCCATCTTTGTCCAGGCGGGCGGCACCCCGGCTGGGCATCACACGGGCCTCGGCGAGGGGTGTCCGGCTGGGACTTCGGAGGTCAAGCGGAAAAGGCCCAAGAGGGTGGCGCCCTGGGTGAACTGCCAGGTGGACAGTGTCCCGGTCACGGTGCGCAGGTGGACGCCTACGCGCTGGCCGGCTTCCAGGTGCAGCAAGCAGCCCCGGAATCCGAAGGCCGAGTTCGGGGCTTTCGGGGCCGGGGGTGGCAGGTCCACAGTCAAAGCCAGGGCGGCGGCCCCGGAGGCGTGCAGCGGCTGCAGGTGGACGGCCAGCGAGACCTGGCCCGAACCCTGGCCGGCCACCACGCGCTGCAGCGCCAGTTGCAAGAAAACGTAGTAGACGCCCGCCTCGGCCACCAGCAGCTCCTGGGCTTCCCTGTCGTAGCTCAGGCCCGGCGCCAGGAACACGCCTGCCAGGCCCGGGTTGCTGTGCCAGCTCAGGGGCCCGTCGGTCAGCACAACTGCGGGAGAGAGAGGAGAGGGTGTTCGCTGAGCCGAGGTGGGGGAGGCCTGGGGAGGAAAGGAGGGGGAGGAGCCCTGAGTGGGAGGGAGCTTCCAGCCCGGTAGGACTGGGGAAGGAAAGGAGGTGACAGAGGGAGCAGGAAGACAGGAAGGGGGAGAACCCCAAGAGAGAGGGCTGGAGAGGGCAGGGGTGGAAAGAGGTGGGGGGGGGGAGACTTCTAGGAGCAGAAGAAGCCAGAAAAAGAGAGGGTGGAGTCTGGCTCAAAAGGGCTTCAGGGAGGGGGTAAGGGAACCCTGGCTGCGGTGACGGTGCCTAGTGGTGACAGTGACCAGTGGTGGGAGGGGTGGCCAGGAGAGGAAGGTCTCTGGGAAGGGAGGGTCTGGATCTCCCAGAGCCAAGTGGATCCCAGAGCCAGCAAGCCTGAGAGATAGAGCCAGCAAGCCTGAGGGGGGGGCAGGGTTTAAGCCCCAGCTCCCAGGAGGCAGGGGCCTGAGGTGGGCACAGACGGGGGTCTGATGGGGAGGGTGGGCGCCCAGAGAGTCAGGAAAAAGCAGAGACCGAGTGGCAGCTTTCGACTCAGCCTTTCGAGTGCGAGGCGAGTGGGGGTGACGGGCAAAGGGTGTGGGACACTCACCGCTTTCGGCCACCAGCTGCGTGAACGTGCCCTGTTCAGAGAGACAGGAGGAGGAAGGTGGGTGGGGGCTCCCCTGGGAAGGGGGGGGTCCTGTCCCCACCCACCTAGTCGTGGGGGGTCCCCAGGGTCTGCGCAGACCTTGAGGCTATGCTCCCCTTCCCCGCAAGGGCGGGACCCGGGAAAAGAGGAGAGATTTCTTCTCTTCCCCGTTCCCTTCCACGGGGTGGGCGATGGGGGGGGGGTCTTGGGGTTGAAAGGCCCTACCCCTCGGGTCCGGGAGAAAAAAACGGGGCTCTCTGGGAGTTCGCAAAGGAATCAGGGGAGGCCTTAGTGGTCCCAGATGAGGAAGTGCCCCTGAGATCCAGGACGGAGAAAGAGATCCCCCTCGAGGCCCGGGGTGCAGGTGGGGACTCGTGTGGGTACGGGGGGAGGGGAAGTGCCCCCCTCAATGCTAGAAGAAGGGGACCTCTGGGGGTCCAAAAAGAGCGGTGGGGTCCCAGCCTCCCAGCCTGGGGCGAAGACGAGGCCTCGCGGGGGTGCGAGATGGAAAGGGGTGACCCCCAGTATTAGACGAAGGGGAGTCCTCGGGCGTCCGAGACCGGGGGGGTGGGGTGTCTCCTGCTCCCGGCCCGGGACGCAGGTGGGGGCTCGCAGGGGTGTGGGAAGAAAAGCCCCCCACCCCAGGTCTAGATGGCGAGGGGGAGCCCTCGGAGGTCCCAGAGGGGCGGCTGGGTCTCCTCGCCCCGGCGCGGCGCGCGGGAGGGGCGTCCCGGGGGGCGGGA